CAAGTGGAGGAATTGCTGGGTCATATGGCATCTCTATTTCTGACCTTTTAAGGTAGCACCATATTGTTTTCCACAGGGCTGCACTGTTTTGCAGTGAGCTAGCTCTCTCTTGATCGATCCTGCACTCATCTTGTCTGACTTCCTGCTCTTTGGATGTGGAAACCTTAAGCTTGCTGCCTGCCCTGAAGATTTGGGCTTCATCAGCCCCTGCAACGACTTGAGTCAGGAGAAGCATTCTTCTGTTGACTGATGTATAGATTTGGGATTTTCCAATCCCCACAATTAGGTGAGCCATTTCCTTGAAGGAAATCTTTCTATGTATATCTATAGATACACCTCACTGGTTTTGCTCCTCTGGAGAACCCAATTTTAAACAGAAACACTAGCAACGACAACCCCTATAATCTTAAGGGGAGCTGTTAAATGTAAGAGTCAAATAGGCATGCCTCATCTTAACTATCAAAAATGACCACTTTGCCGAAGTTCCTCCTAGTCATAATGCCAATTGCCCTAAATGATTTCATAGTGGCCATGGGCTCGCTGACCTAATGAGTAATAAAATTAAATCAATTGAAATCTCTGTTACTTAAAAATTGGCCTGGTGGGGCGGGGAGGAGCCTCATGGATCTTCCCCCAGTTAAAATAGTTACCGCAGTCCTAATGTAAATGAGAACAGGGTCTCTGAGGGTTGAGATTAATTATACAAGACCTAGTTAGTGGAGGAGTGATTATTCCCACTGCCTCGTCATTTAGAAGTCCAATTTGGTCTCTTTTTCAACCTGGGAAGAATGCATGACACCCCAGGGTGGTTGGCAGCACCTTATGGCTTAATCCTGTCTTAGATTCCTCTTGCTGCAGTAACACAAAGGTCCACACACAAACCAAGATAATCACAGCCATTGAGTCAGTTCTGGCTCATGGCAACCCTACAGGACAGGGTAGAACTGCCTCTGGGTTTCCATGATAGTTACTTAATGTGGTGTCAATTTGGAACTCGAGAGAATTCAGAATGAAAGGGTGGAGTCTAGTCTGTCAATCAGATCATAGCCAATGAGGCCTCTGTGTGGGCATGACTTTCTCCTGAGAATTCTGGGAAATCTGATTTCCTCCTTGGAGGTGGGAGAGACTGTCTCTGTCTGTTCACTTCCTGTAAGACATCCCTGAGGGGAAGCCACATGGACCTACCCTGAAGCAGCCCCGGAAGCTGAAGAAGCCAGCGCTGAGATGTTTACAATGCCACTGGATCCACAAGACTTCCCACCCACTGGCCTGCGATCTTCCTGCATTCGGCATCATTACATGTGTTTTGTGAGTTTAAAGAGGACTTTATAGATTGGTATTGGACATATGGGCTAATATAGGGCTTATGGACTTGATTTGGACTGGGCTTGGATGTTTTCTGAATATTCAACTGCTCTTGTATATAACCTCTTTCTTATATACATGAGTGTCTATGAATTTGTTTCTCTAGTCTACCCAGACTAACACAGTTTCTAAGACTGTAATTCTTTATGGGAGCAGAAAACTCATCTTTCTCCTGGTAGTTGGTGGTTTTGAATGGCTGACTGCAGTTAGCAGTCCAAATGTGTACCCTACTAAGCCATCACGGCTGGTAATACCATACATCGGTGGCTTTCAAGACCCGAAACCAAACCAAACTCACTGCCATCGAGTCAATTCTGACTCATAGTGATCCTATAGGACAGGGTAGAACTGCCCCTCTGGCTTTTCAAGAGTGTATATTTTTAAGGGAGCGGAAAGCCTTATTTTTCTCTCTCAGAGCTGCTGGTGGGTTTGAACTGCTGACTTTGTGGTTAGCAGCCTCATTCATACTCCATCAAGCTACCAGGGGCTCCTGGTTTGAAAGTCAACACCTAGTAATTCTCCCATGACCTGATCTAACACAATGTCGACACAGGCAATTAGTCCTAAGCCTCCTTAACGGGATAAGATTAGTATGGGAGGCTGCATCCTTACTCAGATCACACACTTGATGCAATGAGTTAAATGGAGGTGTGTGGCCTGCTTCCAATGTAAGTGGATGATGTGGAAAAGCTCCCTTGCTTTTTATTGGGTTTGGATTATGCATCTGTCAACGACCTTCATTGTACTTGAGCCAACAGCCTGCCCTACTGCCTGCCATATGACCTTGGATTCATTCACCTCTGCAGTCATCAGTCTGTCATCTTCCTGCCAATCTTGGGCTCATCAGCCTCTGCAGTTATGTGAGTCAGGTGTACTCTCCAGCCTAACATCTGACTCTTGGACTTACCTGCTTCTACAACTGTGTGAGTCATTTTCTTGATATAAATTTTTCCGTGTGTGTGTGTGTGTGTGTGTGTGTGTGTGTGTGTGTGTGTGACTGGTTTTGCTTCTCTGAGCCTCCAGTGTAAGACATCCACTTGTCGGTGACCCCCATTTACTACCCTGGGGTCTCCAGTCTCCAGCAAATAGGAAGGGTTTTGGGTGGAGAAACCAAGCCACAGCCCTTATAATGGGAGGGTAAAGGTATATGGATTTCACTGGGCTGACACGGATGACTCTCATTTCTGCTTTTCCATCAAAACTGCAAACCACCTATAGGACCTGTGAGCACCTATAGGTCCTCTCTCATCCCACATTGGGCCAGCAAGGAGCGTGTTGGTCTTATTCTGGATTCAAGGCTCCTCCAGTGGCAAACAACCCCCCTCAGCAAGATTCCCAAATCCCTGATGCAAAGGCATGCTTTGGAGAGGCAACGCAAAGAACGACGGGCTTCAGGCATGCCCCAGGCACACAATCAGTGGCGACATTCGAATCTTTCAGGTGGGGAAGTCAGTTAAGTGTTGGGCTGCAAACCCCAAGGTTGGTGGTTCAAATCCATAAGCTGCTCTGTGGGGGCAAGACGAGACTGTCCACACCCATGGAGATTGAGTCTCAGAATCCCTAAGGAGTGTAGCGCCTTTCACAGGGGTCAGGGGCAGCTTCTTGTTTTCATTGGGAAGGGGATTCAAAGAAACCGCTCGCTCTCCACCTGGTCTCAGGCCTTCGGATTTGAAAGGCCCCTGGGCAGAGACGCTGACCTCATTTCATGTTTTACTCAACACTAATGATATTCCACTTCTGCCAAGTCATAACTCAAAAGCATTGGGAATGTACTCCAGGAAGCCCGGCGACCCATCGATCTTGGTTTTAGAGGTGAAAGCTCCTACTGCAGCCTTGGTACCAAGTACATCAGACACCTGTGTCAGTTGGCCTCAAGCCTGGACTCCGCTCCCCCAACAATTATAAATCAAGTCCTTGCTACTTGGGAAGGGGACAAACTGAGTTAGACTCAGCAGCTCGGCAAAACTGGAAAGTGGAGGGGAAAGAGTCCCTTATGGGGCTCTTTTGCAGGACACACCAGCCAGGAGGACCATACCCCTCAGGTGGGAAGCCTGGCAGGTGGGGCTGGTCAGAAGCAAACAGTGGCGGGATCTTCAGGAGTCCCGGGCCAGTTCCTGTAACAGCTGCTGGCTCGTCTGAAAGTGGTGATTGTGTTGTGGTTGTGGGGGCTGCTGAGCTGCATCTGACTCAGTGACCCCATAGGACGGAGTAGAACTTCCCTCTCCCCCAGGCTATCATGGGCACTGAGGCAGGTCTCCAGGCCTTTCTGCTGCAGAGCCACAGCTGAGCACTCCCAGAGCTCGCAGCACCAGGTCTCGGCATGTGTGCTCACACCGTCACCGGGAGGGCAGGACAGGTTCTTTGGAGGGGGCTCTGACGAGGATTACATGGGATGATTCAGGGAAGGGCACCTGCAGCACCACGTAGGGTGCATGTGGCTCCTGAAAGGGAACAGCGGTCTGACTGGGGTCCACCCTGCACTTGGGAAGATGGAGGTGGGCTTGGGGAGTCCTGGGCAGGGCCTTCAAGGAATCCACAGCTTGAGCCTGGTGTGGAGCAGGGAAGAGTACATAGCTAAATCACACTCTTCACTGACACCACCCCCTCCCCCATCGCCCACCAAACCCAACCCAATGAAGCCAAGCCAATTCCCACCTGTATTGACTGAGAGGACAGAGTAGAATTGTCCTGTGGGCTGCCGAGGCTGTAACTTAAAGGGAGCAGACAGCCTCATCTTTCTCCGAGCACTAGTGGGTTCAAACTACTGACCTTTTACCCACTGTGTCACCCAAGGATCCCCAATTCCTGCTGGGCCCACCCAGCCCCACCCTTACCCCCCAGCAAGTCTATTATAGGCAAATAGCTACCAGGGGCCCCAAGGAGGCAGGGAGACACAGGCACAAGCACCAACAACAGCTGCCGACGCATTTTAATCAAAATTCCATCTTTAGGACAGGGGCACACACAACGTTACGATGGGACTGTCGGCTTGGCCCGGCACATGGAATTTCCACAGATTTGCACTTTGAACATGTATATGAAAAATAAAATATATAATATTTAGCTTTTATACATTTCCCCGCCTCATCTCTACATCCTCAGAACCAGGGACAGCCTCGGCCCTGTGGATCCGGCAAATGAAATCAGTTCTCTTCCAAAGTTCTGTGGGAAACACTTGATGGAGGTGGTCACAATCGCACGGAAGCCGACAGAGGTGACAGACGAACACAAGGTACAGAGTGGGGAGGGACGCCCACCAGGGAAGAGAAAACTCCAGCCAGCCTTTGTGGGGGGGAAAAGCTGCAACTGGACTTTGGCACTGCGGGGAATGAGGCCATGGTCTGAAGGGGTGAGAGCCTGGTTGTGGTGGCCCTCCCCACCCTGGGCTCTCCACCTGGGACCAGGCAGGGTGCCTCGAGCAGCCCACCCTGCCAGTCCTCAGCAGGAAGGCTGTGTGGAGAACACAGGACAGACAGGACTGGGTGGAGGTGGGTGCTCTACTGAGCAGTGTCCTCGAGCAGGAAGTTTTGGGGGGAGGGGGGAATGCACACAAGATACGGTTCGGCCACCGGAGCAGGATGATCATACAGCCTTTGGCAGGAAGGGGGTAGACAGGCACGTGGGAGACACCAGAGAGCCAGGTTGGGGGCTGCACAAGCATTGCCGGGTTTTGGAAGAGGGGCCCCGAGCCTTCCCTGGGGCCCACAACAGAAAGCAGGCATTCATGGCTCAGAACTTCTTTCCAGGAGACGATGGCACTGCCCCCATGTCCCCCTGAGTCTTGTTAGGAAAGAGGTAAGCCTGTGACAGATGCTGTCTCGGGGCCTCGGGTGCCTGGGAAGGGGGCTCTGGGCCACATCCTGGTTGGGCAGGAGCTGACACAGGTCCCTGGGGCATCCATGCCCTGACCTTTAGGCAGGAGTGACGGCAGATGCCAGCCAGGGCGCTGGCTACAGGTCCAACAGCCGCTCCTCACAGCTCTCGGAGGGCCACTTGGAGGCCCCCCCATACACCTCAACGTTGTTATCCACCCAGGGGATGATGTTGCCTGGCATGTTGCTGGAGCAGTTGGCGATGTGGGCGATCTCCTGTGCACGCAGGACACGGTCCCATATGTTGAACTGGCTGAGCTCCCCCACGAACGCCTGCGTGGCATCAAAGCGGCCCCCGACTGTGTCCTGGGGACAGAGGGGGAGAGCAACCTCAGCCCTGTGGTCCCATCCTCCCCCCCCGCCCCCCCAAAATCTCACCAAGTGGGAGGCGGGACCTGTGAATACTCCCTGAGCCTGTGAGAAATGGCAGAGGCCTGGCGATGGCATTCCTCAAATCACCCCATTTTGCACAGGGGAAATTGAGGCTGGAGGGGAGACCGTAGATCGGAGCTCCCTGCCTCCCAGTTCCCCGCAAAGGAAATGCAACAGTGGGGTGAAAGGGGATGTAGAGAGGGTCCCTGCCTCAAATCATGGGAGGGGGAACATAAGGCCCCAGCCTCCAAGAGAGGGGGACAGGAGAGGAGACCCCATGGGCTCCAGGTTCAAAGCATGTCCTGGCACCAAGTTTTAACCCCCCAGCACTCCATCAATAACACAGGGTCTATCAGAGCCTCCACCACAGACCTTGGGATGGGGTCTGCAGGGCAGCCCGCAAGGGTTGAGTACCCCACCTGCGTCCTCACTCTCAGTGCCCCCTCTGGGCAGCAGGGTTGAGACCTTGAGCAGGGAGCCCCCAGTCAGCACTGCACGAAGCAGAGGCTCGGGGAGGGAGGGGTGAACAAGGCACAGGGCTGCTGCCTACCCCAGCCTATCCCCAGAGGGAGACTGGAGTGGGGACCCCAGGGGACCCCCAGCTGGGAAGGCCAGGCCATGGCCCGTGGCACACTCCCTCGAGTTGGCCAGCAGGCAGCTGTGGCACCCACCTGCTCTTGGCCGAGGATCAGCACGCCCCCTGGCTTGATGGGGTGCCAGGGGGCCAGGTTCTCGCCGGTGCCCAGCTTCTCCCCATCCTGGAAGGCCTCCCACAGGCCATCCCGAGTGGTCCAGGTGACACAGATATGGTGCCACTTGCCATCGCTGACAAACAGGGGCAGCTGGATGACCTGTGGGTGGAAGTGCAGACGGCCTGCTGGACTCGGCTCCCAGAGGCCCCAGGGGTAGGACTTCCTTGACCCATGCTCCTCCCATCACTCCAGCCCCTCTTTCTCTGGGCTGTGTAGGTGACACACCCAACACCAACTATGTCAGAGGGTGCAGGGTGGGCAGGGGTGCAAGAAAGAAGAGGGAGGTGGGGCACTATGCCTGAGAGACACACGTGCCAGGGGAAAGGGGCAGCCCAGAGTTTCAACTGGGACAGAAGGAGACCAAGGAGCTGGATGCCCCTCAACATCGGAGAACCAGTAGGGGAGTCAGGGACATACTGGGTCATCGTCCTCAAATAAGTGGGCTCTGAAAACCACAAACCCAGCAGACGGCTGTTGGGTTTGTCCTGACTCAGGGCAACCCTGAATCTGGCCGGGCTTTGACTGGCTGAGCGTTATTTTTAGAAATAGATAGCCAGGCCTTTCTTCCAAGTTACCTCTGGGCAGATTGGACCCTGCCGCTTTACCTAACTGTCCGTGACACTCAGGGATTCCTCTGGAGAAGGGCCCACACCAGGCGCCTAAACTCTTCCAGCAGTGTCCCAAATAGCCACTGTGGCACTTAGGAATCGGTGTGAGCCGTGTCTCCTGCACAGAGGAGTGAAGGTCTCTGGGGGGCAAGTGGGGGCAGCTGGAGATGAATTCCAGCCCCTGCCCTAGGCAGCCACCCTGATCTGAGGACACTTGGCCGGCCCACTGCTAAGCACCCTGTTGTTACTGCTGGTCTCCTAGCAACCCGGGCTTCCTCCCAGGAATTGCATGTTTACAAGCAGTCTAAACAGAGGGGACACAATGCCTGGGTCAGACGGTGTCTGAAGGTGGTATTTAGAGGAATTAATCCTTGGCTTGAAGTGGTCACTGCCAGGATCCCAGTGGGGAGAGGCCGAGACGTTTCCAACCTAAACAAATTCCGCAGGGACAGTTAGGGAAGGCAACCAGCCAACTGCGTTGCGGTGGGTGGTGGAGGAGGGTCTGCAGATAGTTTTGGCTATGTGAAGTCTGACTTTGGGGTGAAAGGTGTGCAGTGGGGCCGTGGGGGGTGGGGTGGGGCACTCGGGCTACGGCAGGACTGACTAAGAAGGGCTCTAAAACTGCTCTGTGGGAAGGCACACACTGTATATGCCTGAATGAAGGTGAGTTTTACCAGCCCTCAGAAAATTCCTTGATGCCCGGCCTTCTCTAGCAAACATTGTATATTCAGAAGTACCGGGTGTTCCGAGAGGTACACAGCCCCTCCCCCATCCATCCCCCCACCTCCTGTGGTAAGCAGCCTTCCTGAACTGAGACCCCACAACCCCTTCTGTTCCTTCCACTTCACGGGTACCCGGAGAAGCTGCGCCAGCCTGGGACTCCACCTGGGGTCGCCCGAAGGATCCCCGTCCCAGTGCACCACCCGGGAAAATGAGTAAGTCCACGCAAAGCAACGTCCACCACATGCCACTGGTCCCGCGCCCTGGGCTACATTCTGCACCTGATCCCCTGCGCCATCTGCCTCGGGCCTCACCTTGTCGTTGATGAGCAGCTCGATGGGGTTGTTGCCCCATTCAATGAGCACAATCTCGTTGGCCTGCCCAGGCACCGCGTACGAGAAGGGGGTGCCGATGCCTGGCGAGGCGCTGGACCGCAGCCACAGGCAGATGGTAAAGGCATACAGCTCGGGCAGCGTCTTCTTGATCTTGCCGTATAGGTAGTTGGTGCGCAGGGGCAGGGACACTTTGAAGGCGTCAGGCGACTTGAATGCGCTGTTGCCTGTTGGGAGAGAAGAGAGGTCTTTGGCCGTTAGGCCCATGCCAGGGCAGTGCGTTGGTCTCCGCTGAAGCACCCAATATATCAGTCCCTCCATCTGTGGAGCAGCTGCCACTGCCAGGGCTGGGGGTGGGGGGCTTTCCCTGAGTGATCCCAGGAAGCCTGAGATTCATCTACTCCGAACCCAAATAATGAAATGTCAGTTGGATGGATAGATTAGGGAAGAGAACTCCGAGCAGGCAGAGGGCACTGCCAGTATAGGAAGGGGGGCTGGGAAGGCTCTGTGTACTCAAGGCACTGAATACTCAAGAAAAGGCGCCCTGATGGTGCTGGGGGTTCAGATGGGGCTGCTAACAGCAAGATCAATGGTTTAAACCCAGCAGGAGGCAAAAGATGAGGCTGTCTGCTCCAGTCAAGATGTACAGCCGTGGCCGCCCTGTGGAGCAGGTCTACTCTGCCCTACAGGGTCACTTCGAGTCTCGGAATCGACCTGCCAGCAGCAGGCTTAGTTTGGTTTGGGGACAGTGGATGAGGCCTCTTAACAAGGCAGAAGAAAAAAAAACAAAAAAAAAACTCTTGTTGGGTTCTAATAGCCTCTGTTTCTAACAGTCACATCTGGGAACTGGAGTCCTGGGTGATGGAAATGGTTAGGCACTCAACTAAAGAGCTGAAGGGCTGGAGTCTCTAATCCACCCCGAGGTGTGTCAGGAGAAAGGCCTGGTGATCCACTGCTGAAAGATCAGCCACCGAAAACCCTGGTGAAAATCCCAGTGACACACGGGGCCTCCAGGAGCCAAGGCCGACAATGGCAACTGGTGGCCTGGTAACTCGAGAGCTCACGGAATGGGGTCAAGAGGACCTGGCCTGACTTTTCTAGTTCCACTAAGGAAAGAAAGCGTCCTTTGGTCCCTGTCACCTTTGTTATTGCCTAAAATAACAACCCCTCAGCTGTCTCCGCACTAAACTTGGTCTTGTGGGGAGAGGGGTTCGAAGCACTCAGCCCCCGCCAATCCTCGGTCCTCAGGCCCGGGAGTCGGCCCTTATTTTGTTTGACACTAGCCCTGAAATTTTAGTGACTTTCCCCCGAAATCCTTGATGGAATGTGCAGTGGCCTTTCTTCCTTCTTGAAGGGAGATCAAGTTATTGACTGTTTCCTGCTGTTGGAAACCAGAGGGACCCTGGGTCTGGACACAACTGCAGATCAATAAGCAGCATCCAAGTACCTTACACTGATGGGACCTGAATACACCAAGCCAAGCCATCTCCTGTCATGCTGCCACATCACACCTGCCTAGCAGCAGTGAGAAGCCCTGGCTGTCCCCATGGGATCAAACCCACTGCCATCGAATTGATTCAAAGTCTTCCCAACCCTCTAGAGGGTTTCCAAGGCTGTAAATCTATCTCTACAGGAGCAGACAGCCTGGTTGTTGAACCTCCAACCTATGGTGAGAAGCTCAATGCTAATCTCCTGGCGCCACTAGGGTCTTTCCTGTGCAACTGGCACTTCCAAGTCCCTCAAAAACAACTGGTACTCTGAGATGGGTTTAGGAATTTTCAATACACCATTGGATGAAGGTCAAGATTAATCTGCCCTAAATAAAGATATAGATGTGTGGAAGGGGTCTTACCCAGTTTATCACAGATTTCAAAATTCATCCAATTTTGTGAGCCATCTCAACACAAACTCCTTTAGACTTCAGATCTCACTGGCTGAGCTCCTTTGCGAGCTCATTCACCCAGTCAAATATTATTTGGCACCGACTCGATGACAGTGCATTGGGTGAGTTTATGAGCCAGAAGGAACCTTACTGGTGCAGTGGTTAAATTACTCAGCTGCTAACCAAAAATTCGATGGTTCAAACTCACTGCCACTTTGCAGGAGAAAGATGGAGGCTGCCTGCTTCCCCAAAATCCTAGAAAGCAGTTCTACTCGGTCCTCACAGGTTGCTATGAGCTGGAATGGATGTGAGGGCAGTGGCTGAGAGGAGCAAGAGGAAGTCCCTGTTTGGTGCATGTGGTTACTGCACTTGGCAGCCCTTAATCCAAAGGCTGGAGGTACCAGTTGGCCCCGGGGGGTACCTCAGCAAAAAGGCCTGTAAATCCACTTCTGGAAAAAAACGCCACTAAACACCCTGAGAAGGATGACGTGAGGCTGTATTCTTTCTGGAGTCTGGCCTTTCTTCTAAGGCCCCTCCCTTTTGTTTAGCCATCGAGCGCATTAACTATTTGCACCACCTGCAGCTGTGAGCATGCCCTGCCTGGGTGGTAAGTGCCCGTCCTCACCATAGGCAGTACCAGTAGATAAAAACAAATGGCTTCTATCCTGGAAGGGGGCTGGCTTTTCTCCTTAATGACTCAGCATCACTACTCTTGTTAGTTCAGTGACGATAGGCTTAATTAGAGGTGGGGGTCCCCCAAGAGGCAAAGAAGACCTTGGTTCAGGTGCCCTGTTACCTAGTAGCCTGTGGCTGAGGGCTCCAGGGAGGTAGGGGCTGGACACAGGAGGAGAGCCCCTTCACCTTTGTCTCTTCAGAGAGAGAAGAGAGGCCAAAGCCAGACTGCTCACCTCTGGGGAGGCTGGAGACCTCATAGGTTTCCTGAGGCCAGCTCACCAAGACCAGAGGCCCAGGTAAAATCATGCTTGGAAACCCGAGTCTAAGCCACACTCACCCTTTGCTGAAAAGGGCCAGGACCTTTTTTCTGGAAGGGAAGCTCAGGAAGTAATGTAGGCTGCCCATGACTTCTGGGGTCTGTGAAGCTGATCGGCACCCTCCCCTTCCCCTGATCTGCTTCAGTAGGCCTTCCTTGGCCATTGGCCTTAAAAGATGCATCCAACATGCGGCATTAAATGCACTTCCTGTCAATTCATGGAGCGAGGTGACTGGAAACCGTTGCTGTCCGGCTAGTGTTCTTCTGGGAAGCCTGTCACCCCAGACCCCCAACAGCACACCCAGTGCTCCCAGTTCTATCAGCATGATCTCTCCCCTTCCCCTCAGGAGGAAGTAATCCACAGAGCAGGAGTGGAGAATGCAGGGGAGGATGCAGAGAGCTGATTAGGACCCAGTTCGCTCCATTGCTATCCAGTGGATTTCGACTCAGAGTGGCCCTACGGGAGAGAGTGCAACTGCCCTGAAGGGTTTCCAAGACTGACATCTTTATGGAAGCAGATCGACACATCGGGTGGGTGGGTTCAAATGGCCTTTTGGTTAACAGCAGAGTGCTCAACCATCAGGGCTTCGAGACCTGTTAAGATGGGGGAATGAGATGCCCACAGGGCCAGTGGAGACTTAGGCTGTTTATCCAGCTCGTCCTAAATTGATTTGTGTTTTCTTGGTCAAGGGCGGGGTGGGGGTGGGGGGCGAGGACGGGACAGCACTGCCTCTCAAGAGACTGCTGTCAGTTGCCCTTGTTTGTTTTCACAGACCTGACCCTGTCCTCACATTTTGCCACACTGTTGCTGTCTGTCACTGAAATCCCATGGCAGACACCTGGCCACTCCTTGCTCTGAACCCCAGGGACAATGTGCCAGCAAGCTTGTCTACACGGCCCCAACTTCAGGAGCACAAGAGACTTTCTCATGCCAGGCAGGCGAGCTGCCTCAGCTTCAACAGCAAGCCTGCACCTGACAGTTGGGCAGAGGAGACTGGCCACTTGAACCGTAAGGACCGAGATGGTTTCCTGCATCTAAGACTGGAAGGTTCTAGAATGGAAGGATGAGCAGCTTCAGAGCCACTACCAGCAATGTCTCCAGAGTCACCCTGCTGGGCTCAGGGAGCACCAGTGACTGCCTCTGTGGAGTGATCCCCTGGATCTCCCCTCTCTGGCTCAGAGGGCAGCTTCCTTCTTTCTACAGCAGGGTAGGAGCTGGGAGGGGCCCAGACACCTGTCCAGCGGTCATCACCTCGCTCCAGCTCGGTCACCCTCTGCAGCAGGGCGTTCAGGGCACTCTCGGTCTTCAGCCGGTGCGCCGAGGTCTCGTTGTGCAGCAGGGACTTCTCGTCCTGGAGCTCAGCCACCTTGCTCAGCAGCTGCCGCTCCAGCTCCCCCAGCCGCCGCTGCAGCACCTCTCGGAAGTCGCTGGGGAGCACAGCGTTGGAGACATTCCCTCGGAGCTGGTGCTGAGGGGGGTGGGGTGGGTGGGGGTAACACAGAGGGAGAAGTCAAGTCAGCAGAAAGGAAACTGTGAACTGTGCAAAGCCCCCCATCCCCCACCCCGTCTGACCTCACTGGGCGATGCTCCCCAAATACCAGTCCTCCATCTACCAGTGGCTCCCATGGGGGCATGCCACTGGGGTTTTAGTTTGTTTGTTTGGGTCTGGAGAGGATTTTCCATGTCAAGTGAGAATGCCTCTCCTGAAACATTTGTGACTCACCTTTCTCCTCTCAGAAAGCTGTTTTACTCTCCCCCAATCCTCCCCCACCAAAAAAAGCTGTTTTTCTCTTTTTCTAAAAAGTCAAAAATTTCTCCCCTCTTCTTACTAAAAAGAATGTTAACCAGCACTTGTACTTCTATGTAGGGCCAAGGCCAGGACACAGCTAGGATCTGGAGTGGTGGTGGTGGCAGTGGCGGCTTTTGTTAAACAAGCAAAACAAACTCAAACCCAGGGCCATTGAGTTGATTCTGACTCAAGCTGATCCTGGAAGACAGACTAGAACAGACCCATTGGGCTCACGGAACTGTACATCTTTAGGGAAGTAGACTGCCAACCTTAGGCTGGTAGGTGCACAGCCTTGAGCTTAACCAAAGTGCCACTTAAACAAATGGTGCTCCAAATGGGAAAGCGTCCATCCAGAAATCCAACAGTTCCTACGTCCCAGTGTGGCAGGAAGGTAAATAGGCAGGCATTTGGAGATGCCACTGGAGACCTGACTGCTCTGAGTTTCAGAAGTCTCTGTTTCAATGTGGTGTTTCAATCCTCACTTCCCTTTTACCCCTCTCCCATCCTGCTGGAGCTGAGGACAGCCTGCCGCTGCCCAGCCACGTGTCCTTGGCAGGTCATTGCCCCTCTCTAGGTCTAAGCATAAGGAGTCCTCATGGCACGATAGTGAAGGCGTTTGGAGGTGAGCTGAAAAGTCAGGCATTCAATCCCATCAGCTTCTCCTCAAGAGAACGATGAGGCTGTCTGCTCTCCTAAAGATTCACAGCTTCCGAAATCCTGTGGGGTGGTTCTACCCTCTCTTATGGGGGTCACTGATTTGGAATCAACTCCACAGCTAGGTTTTATGGTTAAGGTTTTTAAAATTTCTGCTTTGCTTTTATGTCTAAGGACTCCCAAACTGTAGAGTGCAGATCATAGACACCCCATCCTACAGTTGTTGCCAGAATTAGGATTGGATAATATGCCTGATGCATATTTAGTGTTTAAGAAATGTTGGCTTCTATTAATCATAATGAGTCAAGGGATGTGCCGATACTGGGAATGCTGTATTTAGCATCACATCCTGGGAAATTCCTCAAAATAATTTGGCAATGATCAACACCTATCATTTAAACTGAGCCTTGCTAATACATATTCTGATCACTGTTATCAACAGAAAAGGGGGGCCCTGGTGGCACTGCGGTCAAAGGTGGGCTGCTAACTAGAGGTTGTCAGTCCAAAGCTTCTCAGCTGTTCTGCAGCAGGAAAGAGTAGCAATCTGCTCCTGAAAAGATGGAAACCTGCCGGAGGGCTGATTTCAACTGCGGGCAATGCTGTGGGCCAGAGTAGAACTGCCCGGCAGGGCTTGCAAAGGCCCTAGTCTTTACAAAAACAGACGGTCTCACTTTTCTGCCCTTGAGAGAGAGGCTAGTGGGTTCCGGCCAGACTCCGGAAAGAATACAGCCTCGAAAAAAACCACCGCATGGAACCCTATGGGCTTTGTCACACGGGGTCGCTGTGAGATGGAAAACGGACGTGATGGCACTCACAGCAAGGAGGGTCAGGAGTCTGGGGTGGGGTGGGAGGTCTAGATGAACACCGGGAAGCCTCCACGCCCTGAGCAGTCCTCTCCCCCCAGAGTACAGAATCAGGACTCCTCCCCGCAAAGCGACCTGAAAGCCTCCCAGGGGCCGGGCGCAGGCGGCTCTGAAGCCCACCTGCCGGCCCTATGCGGTCGGTTCGGATCCCGCGACCGGCCCTGGAAGGGCGTGCGGTGCCTCCAGATTCCGCCGGCCGTTCGGACTCCGGAAGGGCCCGGTGCCCGAGGCTCCCGACCCGTCCCAACAGCGCCGCTCTGGGCGCCAAAGGGTTCCTGGGAGCAGCCGCTCGCGGGGCTCTGTCCCAGTGCTTGGAGGCTTAACCCTTTCCTTCCAGGCGCGGAGGCTGGGAAGTTTCCGAGCAGAGCCCGATGCTGTGTCTGCGGGCGTGCACCCGTCGAATGGATCCCGACTCACAGGGTTTCCGTGGCTGTCATCCTAACGGGAACCCGGCGCCGGGGCTTTTCTCCCCTCGGAGCCACTACACAGTTGGAGCTGCCGC